TTTGGCTTTTGCGTTTCTTTTTCCCCAAAAAGACAACCGCCAGATCTTCAAGCAAGAGTTGAAGCAGCATGGGAAAGAGGAGAAGAAGAAAAGAAGAAGAAGAAGAAGAAGAAGAAGAGGAAGAAGAAGAAGAAGAAGAAGAAGAAGAAGAAGAAGAAGAAGAAGAAGAAGAAGAAGAAGAAGAAGAAGAAGAAGAAGAAGAAGAAGAAGAAGAAGAAGACCCGCCAGCCGCTCGGCTCCTCGGAGCGGTTGGAAGCGCTCGGCGGGGATTTCCCACGCCCCGGAGCCCAAAGGTTCCCCAGGAGCAGCGTGGGCAGCTCGGCTCCAGGAGAGGAGACCACACTGATCCCGGATTTTAATTACCCGGGCAGCCTGATGTATCCATGCTCCATCGGCATGGAGGTGCTGGGAAAAGCACTGGTGGAAAAGGCGCTCGCTACGTACCCTCCCCTCCGGAGGAGTCACCTCTTAAAAACCAAACCTGTCCCTCTGCTGGAAAAGTGACGGCCACCCCGGCATCGTGACCTTCACCTCCTCCTGAGGTTTAAGACCGACTCGGCATCATCTCTGCCGGGGAGGATGAGCCTCACCCGTGTGCCCCAAAGTGACATTTATGGCTTGGGATGTCCATCCATCGCATTGGGATAGGACTGGAGAATCCCCCCCCTCCCCGTTGCCGGAGGCCCAGCGTCATGCTGGGTTTTTTGGCCACCTTCCTCCTCGCGGGCTCAGCCTGCCCGGGCTGGGAGGATTCCTGCTTCGCACAACCTGCCTCCCTCCCTGCAAGCAGGGCCGCTGTCGGCGAGAGAAACGGGGACCCCAAAATCTGCTCCGGGACCTCCTTTTTGCAGCAGCGGCACGGGTATCGAACACTGCGGGGGTAAAACACCCCCGAAGGGGCCATGGGAAAGCTGCAACCCTGTCCATTAAAAACAAATAAAATGTTAAGGTACGGTCAAACACTTGTTCCCTGATTATGGCTGCCCGGGTTTGGAGCTTTACAAGGGGGTTTTTATGGGTTTTTCAGGATGCTAAGCAGGCAGAGGGGAGCCGAGATGGGGAGGTGCTGGAGCGGGGCAGCAGCGATGGCGTCAGGAGCAGCGAGGTGCAGAGGGACGGGGAGAAAAGCCGCTCTCTGCATCCCCCTCCTCATCACCGGCGAGGTCTGAGCGGCCTCGCGATGCCCCGTGGTGCTACGAGGTTCCAGGGGTTGGAGCGGCCAGGGCAGGGCAAGCCCTTTTGTGGGACGCAGGCAGGGCTGGGCGATGTCTGAGCACACAAAATCGGGTCCCTTTTAGTCCCTAAGGTAAAAGCAAGGTGTTGGGGAAGCTGCTGCATTCGATGCCACCGCTGCCCCGCGTCTCCCTCTCCTGGATTCTGCAGCCTCTCCACTGCCACCCTCCAATCCCTCCTGCCAACCCCACCAGCAAAGCCACCGGCTGCTCCTCGCCTCTGCCTCATCCACCAGATCCTGACACCACAAAGGAAACGAGGAGTCAGCGGTGGGATCGGCCCGGAGCTCAATCCCTCCTCTCCTCTCCTTTCCATGAACGCTTCTCCTCGACAGACGAGGTTTTTTGGCAGAGCCGGAACACTTGGCGAGCCTAGGAGGAGCTGGTGAGCTACAGTCGGTGCCGCTGGATGCACAACCGGGAGCACAAGCACTCGCTCCCCCACGCTGTCCCTGCTCTGAGCACTACGCACCCAGGGACGGGGACCCAACATGCTGAGGGACGGGGACCCAACGCACCAAGGGACAGGGACCCAACGCGCTGAGGGACCGGGACCCAACGCACCCAGGGACGGGGACCCAACGTGCTGAGGGACAGGGACCCAACGCACCAAGGGACAGGGACCCAATGCACCAAGGGACAGGGACCCAACGCACCCAGGGACGGGGACCCAACGCACCGAGGGACGGGGACCCAACGC